AGAAAATTGTCGTCTTTTGGAACTTTTTTAAACTCGCAAAGAGCGAAAAACGGATCCATCGCGGATCGACACGATTTCTTTGAAACTCCGGAAATACAAGAAGATTGCGGTGTACTACCGATTTCGTGGAGTCATGAGCGTTGAAAGGGTTGAAGAAGAAGATAGAATGGGAGAAAAAAAAAGAAAGAAGCGCACAGAGAACACGGAGAACGACAACGGAGATTAACAGAATCCTCAAAGAGTCGATTTGTGCACCGTGTCAAATTTATAGGAGGTGGTGTGTGCGTCCACGATGGGAAAGAGAGTAGTAGAGAAAAATTCCTCCGATTAAAAGGAGAACGAGAATGGACCACTGTCACTACAATGGATAAATGGTACCTTTTGTGGAGACCGACGGCTCTTCTTAGGCCGCTCTTCTCTATCTTTCTCTCTCTCTTCCTTACCCGCCCACGACCTGCCCTCCGTAATCGAGAGAAAAGGAGAGAGGGAATGAGGGTGGCACGAAGCGAAAGGAGAAGACGAGAGGAAGAAAAAAAAGTCAGCGTGCAAAAGGTGGGAGAACGAGCAACCCCTCATGCCGGTTTATACCTGAAGCGACCCTCGAAATCTGTTCTCGGAAGAGTTCACGAGGTGCACACGGGCACACAAGCACATCCTGCACGTGTACACACACCAGTGCACGTGGGACACACGTGAGACTGGATTTGTGTGGCTGTCGGAGCCTTCAGTCGGCTGCGGCTCGTCGTTCAATGCACTTCCTTCTGGGCCAGAGTGGTTTCGACCGATTTTCTTGTTTTCGGTCGTGGCCTTTGCATTTCGCGTGATCCCCCGAACTCGTGTCGCGTTCAAATCGATATTTCTAAAGAGAAATTTGAACTCTCGTACGTTTTCTACCCGCTTGGTCGAAAAACGATCGAAGAAGAAATGAATTGTGAGGATCGTAATCGTTTTCTTTTACGTGGTTGAGTGCTTCGAGTATATATGGAATTTTTTCTATCTATCTTCCTTCGAACGTTTATTATTATTTATTATTTATGGAAATTGTAATTTGTTTCGTAATTTCGTGAAAAAGAAAGAAAAAAGAAGAGGATCGAAAGAAGGAAAACATGTGTGCGTGCACGTGATTATGCTGATCAACAAGTGACGGTTCCTCCCGATTGGAAGCAACGGTGGGCTAATATCGTAAAATAAAAATTCTAGTATACAGGAAGGACGATTTCCGTGAATATTTTAATGCCAGGGGATTGTATAGACCTACGAACACGGCACGACGGACGTGCACACGCATATGGTGGTGGTTTGGTGTATACCGGTCGAAGATTTCAGTCGCCTGTAGACCATCACTCGACGCATTTCCTGTCTAAAAGTGGTTGCAAGTGGTTCTTCGTGCGTCGAATAATCTCGAGTATTTTATTATCTAGTGTCGGATCGTATAAATGGAATGAACTGTGAATGAAAGAACCTTTCTCTTCTCTCTTTTTATTTTTTTTTTTATTTTTGTTTCGAGGTAGTGTTAAATCGGAGACAAGTTTTTCTCGATTCTTCAAAACGAAATCTTCACTGGAATAATTAATCGTTTCGCAAGGATATTTCACGTTTAAAATGTTTTCGAGTGAAGCGAAAAATGTTCGTTCCTTCGTCGTGAAAAGAAGTTTGTAGAAGTGAACGTAACAGAACGAGAAGCGGACGAAGCGTAAAATGTAACTGGAGCAAGAAGTAATGAAACACGTCGGATAAACATTAATCTGGAAGAGGAAAAAAATCGATCAAAAATCGTCTCGATGATGTGGTACGTCGTGACTTTGCATCATGTTTTCTCATTAATTTGGTTGAGAAAACCGAGAAAAAACGTAAAAATATTGTTTAAAAAAAAAATGATTCCAACTATTGTAACTGTGACGTTAATTTATATCATTTTTGCATTGTCAGCGTAAAAAAACGAAAAAATATTTTTACCTGCAATTAACTCATGAAGGACAAAGTAATGAGTCAGAAAATTCATTATCTCGAAAAAAAAATATGCGCAATATAAAGCATATTTAGTTATCTTATTTATTGCTAAAAAAAAACTTGCAAAATTCATGTTTCCTTTGAACCATATTGATCTCGTTGCAAACAAGAACTATTTATCTCTTACCACGCGAAGAGAAAGATATTTTAAAAACAAACTCGAGAATCTGGCTCGATTATATCGCGATTTAAATCAATAATAACACCTTTGAGTAAATCACTCTTACGAATATCGTTTCACCCAATCAACAATTTCACTTCACGTATCAACCGTATATTGATTATTCCAAATCGAAAAGATTATAATCTCTCGCGTTCTACATCTGGCTACGTAAAATTATATTTTCTATTCTCGCGAAATTTTTCCATACTTTGAAACGAATAATGATATGTTACTCTTTAAACAAACACCGATCTAAACGTTTTTTTTTTTTTTTTTTTAAGTAAATCTCCAATCGACTACAAATCACATTCCACGAAAATAAATATGTACAATCACGTTTCGAGAGGTTCTGCAATTAAATAATAAACGACTCGTCGATAATAATTTCGAAATTTTTCGAAAGCTACAAACTTTTCAAAGAGACAGCACTCGCAAGAAGATGTCTCGTTTCCATTATGCAACCATCTGAATTAAAAAAAATTATAATCTTTCACATTTTACATTTCGCATTTCAAATCATGTTCTATCAAAAAAAATATATATAAATCGCATCTATAATTTTTTTCTCAAACAGTGCACATTGTTCTTCAAACAAATATCTCGTAGATGATTTCTAGAGCATATAGAGAATTATCAATCTATTCAGAATCACATTTCAGTGAAAGTGATACGTACAATCAAGTTTCGAGAAAAATTTTGCAATGTATAATATTACACGTCAGTTGGACAATTTCGAAATTTTAGGAAACCGCAAGTTTCCGCTTCTCAAACAAGGCGACTTCTCGAAGGATGCCTCGTTTCCATTATGCAGCCTCGTGCAGCCACCTGGTCAGCTGGCGTACTCGGTGTTCAGCTGCATAAATTGCCGTGAGCAACTTCGTGATCTGTCAATTTTATAACGCACCTCTCGCGAGAGGAAAGAAACTGTGTAGAACGATCCGTAAATTATTTTCTATTTACGATCACAATGGTTAAACGGATAAATCGTACCCATTAGCTACGTTTGCGTGTGTGTAAGAAGATCGAGAATTATGATGAACAGCCTGAGCTTTTCTTTTCGTTACGAGATGATCGAATCTGAAGTTCAGAAAAGATTTTGCGAGATCAAGATATATAGAGGATTGATAACAAAAGCGATCCTTGTTAAATTTCAATTATAAAATTGATTAAACATATTCTCTCTATTATATATTATTACAGTAGTTGTGTATTAATGTACATTTTGTCAAACAAAAATTTAAATGTATTAAACAAAAGTTGAAGATAATTCATTCTTTGGAGCATAATTTTTCGAAGAAAAAAAATTACATTCAAAAGACTATAAATTTTATAAATTCAATAAATTTTGAAATCTTTAAATAGAATATTTTTCTAGCTACGCATTAACATCCATATTTTTCATTTAAAGAAATTATTTTTACCACATTATAAAATTTTATGAAAAAACTGGAATGTCATGTGTAGCTTGTGACAAGTTAATTAAATAATCCGAAATAATGACTTTAAAAAATAACTTAATCGTCCATTAAAATGAATATGGAAATAACATTCGATCATATTATTGGAACAGTCGACAGTGGTCGGGAGATGAAGAAGACGAGGGCACAACAGGTCACGTAACAACGGAGCATCCACTGGCAGAGGCGACAATTCCTTTGGTCTCCCACTCGCGACTTCAAGAACAGCCCTCTAACTTAAGTGGCAATCTCGTGACCGCTTCTGGGACCCAGAATCCTCCTCGTTCGCAAAGCCAGCAAGAAAGCGTTCTGCAGAAATTTAGAAAAAGTTTCTCCTTGAGGTTCCACAAAAAGGGCAGCAAGGAGAGCAACGAGAGCGAATGTCCGGCCGAAGATAACGATGGATCCGGACCTTTGGACGAGGAGGAGGAAAGAGAACCACCTACTGTGACTGAACAGACCCCTCAACATAAAGAAGACACCAATAATGACCAGAAATTCCGGTTAGTTTTATGTCATCCCATCTCTGTTTATCTCTTTTTTTGAAAATTAATATTTTTTCTTTCTTAAAATTAAGAGAAATTATACTTGCAATTTAAATGAAAGAAGTAAAAGTCGAATCTCGTTTTTTTCTTTTTTCTGTTTTACAGATTCGGTCCTCTTGTGTGGAGAAGCAGTAAAGAGAGGAAAAAAGGCAGCAAGGCTGCCAGAAACGCGAAATGCAACAGCGGAGATAGTGGAATACAGATCGAGGTAAGGAATATTTAACAATAGACAAAATATTATAAACTCATACTTTATATATTATATATATAAAGATAAAATTAACTTCGAGATATATTACCTATTATATTTCCTTGAATATTCTCTTGCCCGAGAGATACTTCACGCCGATATTTCACATCATCTCATGCAACTATAATTCTTCCTAGAATATTAATTTCCTACCAAAGCGTCACGCCAGTCGATGGAATTTCTATATCGAGAGAGAAAAAAAAACAAAATTAAAGAAAGTGTAATTTAGACGAATAACGAAGTAAATTATGAACGATATAGATGGTATCTGGTGGAGCATTGACTGGGGGTGGTGGTGGTGGTGGAATGATGGGGGGTGGTGATAGCTCCGAGTCCCACGACACGGATGTCCAAGACGAGACGGACAGCCCGCCAGCCCTTCGCAGGCGAGTCGCCGACAAATCACGACCCCAGTCCGAGCTCATCAACCAGATACTGATCGACAAGTTTAAGGTAAAGACTATCGTTCTTTGCCCCTGATTCTTTGTCCCCTATGCTATCTTCGTTAATCATTAACCAGCCATCAGCCGCACGAGAAGTTGCCGTATCTGTGCTTAAACATCGTTGAATAAATGGGAACATCGCAATGAGAGAGTGTTTTGTATTTTAATTAATTGTTGAGAAGAAGTTATTTGAGAGGAATTTTGGGTTTAATTTTTATTACGGATTAAAGTCAAGATGCAATAAAAGTAGAAATATGTATTGATCGAAAATCTCATAATCTGGCATCGGGTGATGGTAAACGAGAGGACGAGGATCTCTCGGGACTCGAGACTTGTTCTCAGTAAAATATAGTGTGTATTTTTAATGTAATGATAGGTATTTTCGTATATCGATGATCTTTTGGAATGTCTATTTAAACCTTTGGCTATGGTTCTGAAAAGTATCGATGGCCGATCGAAGCGAAACTTGAAGTAATAAAGATGTGGTTCTTAGTTTGTCGATTGAAATTCACAAAAATTGCTATTTTTCGTTAATGATTTTCAACATTTATTTATTTCAATAGATATTTGAAAATTCGACAATTCATCTCGATCGACCAACAATATCTTTCTGAACATTCAATTTTTCAAATTACAAGACACTCTCCCTATTACAATTCCATTTAACTGAGGATCATTTCAAGAGGCTAATAATTATATGGGATAGTAAGAAACAAAGATCTCGAAGAGAAACGCTTTCCTTTGCTTTCGATGGACGTGCAAAGCGATCCATTTGTCATTGGGTGTTTGCATACGTCGCTTTTTATTTCATTTATGCGCAATTTTTCCCCCTTGTGTCTTACCATGGCGCTCTCCCTTCCTTCCCATTTTCAGCCGATGATGTATAATTATTGTTATATTGAGAGTGTCGCACATTTGTAATCATTATCAGTCCACACGTATGACTGTTCCTTCGACACAATAACTGGCATTACTCACGTTTATGGTTTAGCCACGCTTCGTACAGATCACTGACAACCGACTGATACCATAGCAGCACGATATATCGCGTTAACCAGGATACGAGGAGAGGAAGCACAGTCCTGGTTAGTTGATATCGGACCGAGCGACCGACCGAACGATTTATGGAAACATGGGCAAAAGTCGAGTCACTGTTTGCTATTCATCATTCTTGTTTTTTTCTTACGTGATTCGTGTATAACGACGGCGTGTTTTCGAGATAACGCGAATCGGTTAATGCGTCCATTTACGGTGAATTTTAAGTTTCGTGCAATCGTATTGATAAAAAGTATTTGAAAATTTGTGTGAATCATATAAGAAACGAAGATATAGAAATGTGAATAATATACTATAATTATATTGATAAGAAACACGTGAATCATATAAGATATACGAAGATATAGGAACGTGAACAATGTAATATGGTAATGTGTTTCGACAAGCGTGAAAGCAACATGGCGCCTCTTTTCTAACACCACATATCTAACTGCACTAATCTATTAGGTCACGTCATAAGTAATTTCGTTTTGAAGGCCTAGTTTCAATGGAAAAAGTACATTTCATACATTTTTAATCTATACATTTCTTATTTTTCAATCCACTTTGCAAAAAAATAATTATTTCATCTTTTCTAACAAAAATACTATTCTAACATCAATTTATGCGATCTCCATTTTCAAAAATTTTGTCGTTTAAGAAATTTTTGTAATAACAAATGTTTTATAACAATATCTCTACACCAGAACCAAAATTACTTGTAAAATGACCAATATCCATGTGTACATATACCGTATATCGAAAACCTTAACTCGAAACATACAAAAATATATTGGTGTTTGTACAAAATTAACAAATCTCTACTGGACGTGTAAATCTAATCGTAAACGAGAATGGGAACGGCATTTAACCCGCTCGATGATCAAGCAATTTTCTGGACAATTGGCTTAACGTCACATGGCAAGAAAAGCCTCATCTTCGCTTTCACTATTAAGGAATCTTATGTAGTAACCGTTCATGTTTAACGAGTGTAATACTTTCCAGGCGGATCTTCAGAGTCGTACGTCGTCGAGGCACCAGCATGTACGTAGAACGAACAGCGATTTAGGAGGTCAAAGGTTACTCCAGTGGGATACGAGGTCTGGTTACAGCCACGCGCACAATTACCGCAGGATGCTGTCGACGCCATCGCCGATCAAGACGAGGCCTCCTAGGCTGAGCCCGAGGCACTCCTCCCATGACATCGTTACGCTGAGAAGGTGCGTTTAACGACCGTGATCAACCCCGTGGTTTCGCACCCTTATCGCAAACGCCTCATTTTGCCATCTTTGAGCGGAGGATCGGCTCTTCTAGACGAGAGAATTTCGTCCAATCGTCGCGGGGGAAGGGGAGAATTTTCGCGATTCGATATTTAGATATATCCGCTCGAGATTTGTATTATTATTATTATTATTATCGCGGATTGGATATTCGATTGGAAGCGTCTTGATGACTTTCCAAATGTTGATTTTAACGAGAATCGTAAAATCGGATTTCGTAGAGAAGGGAGACATGAAGATTAATTAATTCTTGGTATTTGGAGACATGGACGATTGCTTTGTCTTTTAATGCAAATATTCAAACGTATTGTCTTGGTTAATTTAAAAATTTAAAAAACATGAACTAACTACACTTTACTGCTAATAAAGAAAAAAAAACAGCTATGAAAAGATAATCTAGGTGCTTAATTTTATAATTTCTTTTAGCGAAGATCTGAATTGTTTAATCGTTGAAAAAAATGAACGTTATCTTGGATAATTTGCTCTTTTTTTTTTTTCGTTGTATTTTTGTTTCTTTTCTGGATCTTTCTCTGGATCTTTTTCTGAATTTTTTTTTTTTTTTTTAATTTTTGTTTAATTCCAAATGAATCATAGCACGACATTAGAATATCATCAATACAATTTCTTGAAAGATTGTCCTTGAAGAAATTTAAATTCTTTATTCTCGAACCTTTCCAGTAAATCGAGGGAGAATAGTGGTAGGTAGACGGGTATTATAACAAACATCTTTTTTTAATTTTTCCTCGTAAAACAGTTGATCTATCATGCGTTACTATGTTACGGAGTGGTTCTTTTTTAATTGATTGATTTTTTTGTTAATTTTTTTTTCAAGATATTTTATATATTAATTTATCTTATTTTTAAATGTTCAATTATCATTTAAATCACTTAGACGAATTATTATTTAACAAATTACATATTTACAAAGTCTAGGGTAAACCATAAAAGGAATTTAAAACATAACATAATTTATAGCGATGAGGGAACAGAACTGCATAATTATCAATAAAAAAAAACATTACATAAAAACGAATAAATAAACAAGTTTTGAAAGTAGGCAAAAATTAACAGAACCACTCTGTATACACGTGTATACTTTGTCGTATGTACATATACATATATATATATATACATATATATATTTACCTATTGTAACTCGTTGCTGAATGTTGTATCGATGCTTCTACGTAAACACAAAGCTTGTTGGTCCTTCATCCAAAAGTATGGGAACGAGAAGAGAAAAATTAATGAAAATTTTATTCTGATCCCAGTAACGCGAAAGGGAGGAGTTCTCGGACAAATTTGAGGCGTTCACTTAGTCAACCACTGGGTATTAATCAACTATCACCCTTGATGCGCACCAAAACTGCAGGTAAACTCAACAATTATTAATCTAAAATCTCATTTGTTGATATTGTTCAAATTCTAACGTAGATTACATTTTCAATTTCCTTTCTTTCGTTCCAAGCAAATGAGTGATTTATCATTTTTTTTTCTTTTTTATACTTTGAATATTTACAAATTCTTATAATTACACATTAGTTCACAATCATATTATTGGATAAAATTTTTACAAATATTTAGAGATATTTATAAAATACAAGATTTCTTTGTTCCATTGTTTTGTTCTTGTTAAAGCACATTGCTTGTTTGCTTGGTACGTTGGTAGCGAACCTGTTGACGAAGAATTAGTGCACACACTTTCTCTACTCCAGTGGTACTCTGTTTCTCTTAGATCACCATTTTTTCCGACAGTGCTCTAAATTAGCATGCACCCTTTGTAAAAATCTCAAAGCAACCGTTGTAACAGAAAGCACCTGTAAGAAGAGCTCTTGAACAGTACGGAATGCGGAAACACTCCTGTATTAAACGTGTTGGTATCTTCGTTCTGTAAGGACTTCCTGCTTCCTGTGAATACGCTTTTGTTTGAAGTAGAAAGCAACTATGCTTTTAGAGCTTTATGAAATATTTCAGAAATTCAATTTCAAATTAATTCGTTTATTTAAAATATTGGAAACATTACTTTTCTGCAAACTACATTATTTCATAAAGCTCTACTATTAGAGAAAACTAATTACACCCACAAAACGTGATAAACAATTTTTTAATCTTTCGCTGCCAATACCAGCAAGGCTACGATGGATATCTACAGGGTGATTTAACGATTATACGATTGTTCTCTCGTGTTAAAAAATTTATACGACAAATCCAGCGACAGATAAAAATTTATATATAAAAGTTATCTTCGATTCATGCTCTTTATTCCAATAATAAAGACAAGTGTCGTTTTTTGTTTGAAATCAGGCGCAAGGTTGCCCGGTGGAAACGTCCTGTCTGAGGATGAACAGGATGGAAGAGGTGGGACGTCGGATGACGAGATGATGTCCGATTCGGAATCCTCTATCGCCTCCTTGACGGACAGAAAGAAATCCTTCGAGCAGACGATGGACGAGGAGGTTGTAATCTTGGCTGAAGCTGTTTGGGACCACGTGGCGATGGAACCAGAAGAGTTAGCTTTCCGTGCTGGCGATGTGATAGAGGTTTTGGATAATTTGGATAAAGACTGGTGGTGGGGTAGTTGCAGAGGAGAGCATGGCTGGTTCCCGGCTGCATTTGTTAGGGTATGATGCTATTGATGATTTAAAAATAAATCATTTACCATTTATTTGAGAAAAATGCAATTTATTAAGATTATTATTCGCTGTTACATTTAATGATTTTTATTTCATCTTTTGGACAAATTTTAAACTCTTTAAAATTATAAAAAAGATCGATGTAACTAATCGATATTGATATTACTTTGAATTAATACATTGAGAATTTTTTGTTAAAAAAAACAAGTATTATTTGAAGTTTGAATAACAACAATTGAATTTTATGTCATCAGTTACGCGTAAGCCAAGAAGACACTGTCGAGGACTGTTTGGCGGCGATGGCCTCTGGAGGTACATCGAATCAGCAACTGAGAAGACGTACCAGTGTCTCGTTGTTATCAAACGAGCAAGTTAGAACGAGCGTGGTTCGTGAACTGGTTCAAACAGAGCGGGATTTCGTCAAGATATTAAGGGATGTTGCGGAGGGTTACATAGCCGAATGTCGACGACGCACGGATATGTTTACCGAAGAGCAGATAGAAACGATTTTTATCAATCTCGAAGAATTGTTAGACTTCCAATCTGAATTTTTGAAAGATTTAGAAACTAGGATAGATTGGAGCGCTCCGTATAAGAGTTGTGTCGGTGAATGTTTTCTAAATCATGTAAGAAAATTTAAACTGTTTCTTTTTTGTCCCGATAACAATTGTTTTAACTTTTACTCTCATATTCTCAATTTTGTTTCAGAGAGCAGGATTTCGCATGTATTCAGAATATTGCAATAGTCATCCTATGGCTACCGCCACGTTACAAGAATTATATCAGCATAATCGTTACAGTAAGTTCTTTGAAGCTTGTAGGTTAATGAGAGGATTGATAGAGATTCCTTTGGATGGATATTTATTGACGCCTGTGCAACGAATATGCAAGTATCCGCTTCAATTGGCGGAGTTGTTGAAATATACAAAATCTGATCATCCGGATTACCATAAAATTCAGGAAGCCCTTGAAGCGATGCGAGATGTCGCCGTCCTGATTAACGAGAGAAAGAGACGAATGGAAAGTCTTGAAAAGCTGGCTGCGTGGCAGCTAAGGGTTGAAGGATGGGAGGTATGAATTTATATTATATCACTTGTATAAAATAATATATTTTAATACTGCAATTTTTTTAACGTTTTTTTTTTTTTTAATTCTACCACAGGGAGAGGATCTCATAGAAGTTTCGTCCCAATTAATTTATCAAGGTGAAGCTGTAAGAGTCACTACTGGCATGTGGACAAATAATATCACCCTCTTCCTGTTCGACCATCAGTTAGTATATTGTAAAAAGGACATTTTAAAGAGGAATACCTATGTGTACAAGGGACGAATTTATCTCGACACAAGCGAGGTGATCGATGTTCCCGACGGGAAAGGTAAGTTTTTCAAACCACCGTGAATTTTATCATCGATCTAATTTCGAATATCGATCGTTTGTTAATCTTTTATTTACAGATCACCAACTGGGTGTAACGGTGAGGCACTGTTTGAAAGTGTACAGCTGTGTTCGAGATAAGTGGTTGTTATTCTGTTGTCGCACAGCGGAAGAGAAACGTCGATGGTTGACAGCCATGGCGGAGGAGCGAAGATTGGTTGCACAGGACAGAAATGACGGGTTAGAGTTTCCTGCCGCAGCGAGGCAGTTAGCTAGGCTCGCTGCAACGAGACAACAGAACAGACCGCCAATTAAACCTCGCAGTACGTAAAATAATTGATTATTCGGAAGAATTAATTTAAATTTTGGATAATAATTAGATATTGTTTAAATTGAATAATTACAGACAAAACGTACAAAAGAGAGTCGGCTTACGAAATGCCAACAATGGTCGGGCAGGCCACGACAAACTCGTTAGGGCGTAAAGTTGGCACTTGGTTCACATTCGGTAGCAGCAAGAAAAATACACGACTTCAGCCGTCCTGAGACAGGCCTACCTTCGTGCCATACATCGACTTGTGAAAGTTTAACGAGAAGCGCTCGATCGTTGCTTCGTAACTATGAATTTCGTTCACGCATTACTCGTGTGAGAAACTTTTCTTTAAAAAAGTTCCTTATCACCTTGATTTATTCGGATTTTCTTCAATACTTCCACGTTCAAGAATATTCGAATAATCAAGCGGGGATCGAATATTCGTTTTAATCAACACGAAGGCAAACGATAACAAGCGCTTATCATATGTATGGAACGAAGGTATTTTATTTATATAATTGTTAAGTTTGATGTTTAATCTGTCGATAACAATAATATCGATACGTCCTGTTGACAGGATAGTAAAACGCTACAATTTTCACCAGTCTGATTATAGTATTCTTGTTTAATTTAAACACATACAGTTCGATAAAAGAGGAAGAAGAAGAAGAAAAAAAAAAAGAAAAGTGTAACTTTATATCGTTGGCGATATTTAATTTCACTGCCTCGAAAAAAAAGATTCTTCTAGATTCTACGCTCTCTCGTCTTATAATCACGTCTTATAATCATCTTATAATCATGGAGTTTGGACAAGGTATTATCTACTTAGTTGTTTCTAGAAAATGATAAACGTTGTTTGTTCAAAGTATAATCGCCAGAAATATTATATTAATTAAGCATAATTATAAATTTACGTAAAGGAGAGTATGCGTACAAGCAACGTTTATGCGAATATCTCGAGTGAAATGAAGAATATTAGAAAGTTCGGAGAAATATGAAGAGATCGAGCGGTTAAAAGCAAAGCAACAAATATCGAAGCGGATCAAATTAGAAAATATAATCGAAGAAAAAACTTACATAAATTAGAAAAATGAATGCACTTATTATTAGACGTGTATAGATACATATATGTGTAAAGCCGTTAGTGAGCTTTTGCGGTACTAAAGAGAAAGTACTAGTCACACTTATCATGGAAACATATGAAAGACCAGTGATGAAACTTTATCATTATTGAAATGCAACCGCTTGTATGTTGTGTACAATGAATGGATTAGTAATGGCCATCCATTTTTTATGGTAATAAAGACTGATTGAGAAATGTTTGTTTCCCAGAGATTCACGAGTAAATAGGTATGAAGGAAGCACTGAGAGAAAAGTAATAAGTAGTAAAAGCGTAAGTAATCGAATTTCAATATAGATCAACTTATATATATTTGCAGTTCCAAAATGAAAAATCTTTTAATTGTATTTCTAGTTTGATGACAATTTAGATAATGTATTTTAGAGTGCACACTGAAAAAAAAGAACAACTGATACAAATATTATATCTCGAAATTTTCTCTCAGTGAAGCGAAACGTATCACATTACATATTCAAATTAAAAAAAAAAAAAAAAAGAAAAAAAAGATTTTAAATTGTTTCGCCCCTTTACTGCCTAAAATTATCATCGTTTCATTTAAAAAGCAGTAAATTGTAATACTCATCGTAGTTCGTATGGAGATTTTAAATTTTTAGTAAATGGACGAAGAATTATATTTCTACGTCAGATATGGAGTGGACAGTATTAACGATATAAGTATCAATTAAACGTGTAAATATTCGCACATCAAAGCTTCTTTTCTACTGCTGCTTTAGCAGTTTCTAGTTTCTAAAGAGGAAAAAAGAATCATCTGAGATATCTTTCAAATTTTTCTACTCTTGTACAGAGAATATCACGATGAAAGCCAGGCAGCCAGCAAAAACCTCTGTGTTTTGTATGTTAAAGATTTAATGGAACGTGCATACTGTCTGTAATTCTTCATCGCATATTTCAATTAATATTTCAAAAAACTAATCCACTACCAATTGTGAAAGTTTTCAACACTGCCAATATGTTTATTAGATATGTTTTTCTTCGTTTCTGATAATCTTTATCGTTCTAACGAATATATAATCTTCAAATTATATGTTTAAAAAGAAAATTATTATTCTCCGCCTTCGAACGTAATTTTACAATAAAAAAAAAAAAGAAGAAATATTTGTAAAACATAAACAATACACAGAAGTATATTTTTGCTTATTTTCTGGCATAGTATTTAGTATATGAAAAGGACAATATGATAACAAAGTGAAAGAGCAAGATTCCTACTCAATTGTACAGAGATCATTAATCATTGATGTGTAGACTAGAAGCGATACATTTATTGCTGGACCTAATTCATTTAAAACTTATTTTTATAGGAATATATTTATTTGTTCGAACGCAATTTCTTTGTAAGCATTGTTGTGTAAGGACAATTATAATGGCCAATGTAACTAAACATAAAAAGAGAAATATCTACATATTAATTATAAATGCTGAAATGATGATATCATACATTGCACAATTCAGAAGTTTCATTGAATTTCATCGACATCAATAAAGAAAAAAAACTTTTATAAATTATCAGAGTAATATTACAAATATATGCAACATGTATTAATTATCGAAAAAAAAAAAAAGAATTAACATTACGATAATTTGTTCTTTGCATTATTGTTCTACATATCTTGATAAAGACACGTAATTCAATATGTGATGAATAATTCGACGTGTATTTTTTCTATATTTATAAAATAGAAAATTTGTATTATTACTCTGAAAATATTAAAACAGATTCTGCACAAACGATGTGCTTTGAAGCAATAATATTAATAAACTTTACAGTAATAACAGTTTAGGCTGTTGCATATATGCGTGAATGCATATATTTTCCCTTGTAATATTCAATATTAGTTGCACGTGCATATTAATGATTGACATTATTGTATATCATTAATATACACGAACATATTACACTTTGAAATATTTAAAAAAAAAAAAAAAAACAATTGATACGATAATGTATTTGGTTTCGTGTAAATAACTTAGATATTGTTATAAGTGTAAATATTGTAGAACTCGTCATCAGTGAAAATTTCAACATATTCTAGGCAATAAGAAACTTTAAAATTAAATGATATATATATATATATAACTTTTGGATAAGATTAATTATTGATTAATAGCACAATGTTTTGTATATTTGTATATTTAATTTAATGATTTAATAATAAATTACTCTCTTTGCTCGATTGTTCACGTTATAAATAATTATTGTTTATGATATGTACAGTTGAAATTACATAATATGTTTACAATTGTTTTCAAAATATAAATATATACTCAGTTAAATATATGTAAATAAACATTTTATAATTACTACATTATTATTATTATATTTATTGCACTGAATTATGCATTTCCTATACATTATTTTTTACAAATGTAAGTAAAATAATATATACTTTGGATAAAACTGTCATGGAAAAGATATTCAATAAAAACCAAATTTTCTATTACTATTTATTAGGTATTTAGGAAAATTAGGTACCAAGTATATAAGTACTTTTTGAAATTTGTGCTTTTAATTCGGAATTCTCCTTTCTTAATTGATTTACCACTTGTCTTAGAGTTTTAGCTTCTTCTGATAACTGAGCATTCTCATCTAAACTTTGTGCGAAATTTTCCTGTATTTCTCGTAATTCTGTAATATATTGACATGCTCTTGCCAAGATTCCTCCTTTACTCTATAAGTATAATAAAATTTCAATAAATGTTTGGAATAAAAATGATATAAAAAACGAATCAGATAAGATATAAATTATTAAAAATTGTTATCAAAATAATACCTGTAACTCAAAATTAGTTTTTACATCTCCATCTGCTGTTGTACTTTGTTCACATTCTGGTAGAAGCTTTCCTAATTTTGAAATCCAGTTATTAATTTTATCCCTACGACGTCTCTCAACTTCATTATGAGTTACTCTTCTTCTTTCATCTCTCTATATAGTATTATTAATAATAATATTAGTATTTTTTAATATCTTCGATATTTATTAATATTAATTGTAAATCATATACGATACATTACCTTCTTAATGTTAGTAAGAATATTTTGGGGATTATCTATTTGAAGTTTAACACGTGGTGCAACTGTTCTTGTAGATTCTGAAGAAACAACTTCATTACCATTGCTAAGTACATAAAATTGACCATTTATAGGTGAAGTTAAAACTTGAACAGTATTATTTATTGGAGCAGCTATTGACAATTCAGTATTATTTATGTGATTATCACCAACTTGTACCACACGATATGCTACTGTATTATCATTCCTATTTACTTCACATAATTGATATTGTATATTATCTTCTTCTGTAACAGTTTCTATTTCTGTGTCACAATCTATTATTTCAGCTTCTTCTAAAACTACGCCAACATTGTCATTGCTAATTGTATTCTCATCCACACTGTAAAATATTAAATATTAAATAAAACTATACAAAAAAACCCAATTAATTTAGAATATTCTAAATAATATTCTAAATAATTTAAAGTTATATTTTCTACAAGGTAATCTTATAGATTAAAAGTATATAAGATTCCATGTAAAACAAAATTTTATTTTACGAGATATAAATATAGATTTATATATTCTATAAAATTTAAATATTTAATATAACTTTATATAAAAAAGAAAATATTATTAGTGTATTAAATTTCGTGTTTATGGTTATATTGTGTGAAGGAATATATTAAAATGAAAAAAAATAATAAGAAACATACCTTTCATCAATATTTTCGAAATGATTTAAAACTTCCATTTTAATTTTTAGTATGAATTTCTTTCAATCACAGTTTCTTTATGCATATAAATGAATGTACTAAATTTCTTATTTATACTGTGATCTATTTTCTATAGCTAATGCGTCACACAATCTGTAAAAATATGTATGGATGAAATTATTTATCATATAGATAAAATTATTTAACATATATTAAACATTTAAAAATATTTCACAAGCAATTGATAATATCTGTATGTATATTTAAATGTCAGTATATAATATTAAATTTGATAACATATATATATATATATATACATATACACATACAGATATATATATATATATGGATGTAGTTAAATCACAGATAAAATACAGAATAGACTTAACATTTGATAGAAATTTGTATTTCATTTTTTGATCGTGCAAGAAATCATGTTTGGCATTTTCTTTAAAGAGGTGAGTACAGAAATTATATTTAATCACAAAAATTAATAAAATTAACACATTTTAAAAATAACTTTTTGATATATTCCTTCGATTGTTACGAAAATGTAGACTTATATATTGAGTTGAATTATTCGTGAAAAAATTATATTTCTACTTTTTACAATAGAACAATACAATATTACAACACAATGAAAATAATATCAATTTTTGAAATTTTTTAAAAAAATACATTTAAATATATTATTAAAATATATTATTAAAATTAAATTTGTTTATATATGTTGCTATAATTGTAAATATTAGTATTTAAGCAATACAGATAAAAGCAAAAGAAAATGATAACGTTAATTAAATATCGAAATTGTCTCTTGAATGCATTTTATAAAAGATAGACAAGGAGAACAAATAGTGCGAGAAGGACAGAGATAGGATAAAAATATTGAAATCAGCGCCATCTTCAGAGTGCCGCAAATGAAACTCATATATAAAGGACAGAAAATAATAAGAAAAGGATAGAGATAAATTAAGAATTGACTATCAGTGCCATCTCTCGAGTACTAACGATATCATTTCAAAGACAGGATAAAGTAGGGCAAGAATTGATTAGTAACGCCATCTCTCGAATTTTTAAAAAAAAAGATATATTTAGTACTCACGAGATGGCGTTACTAATCAATTCCTGCCCTACTTTATCCTGTCTTTGAAATGATATCGTTAGTACTCGAGAGATGGCACTGATAGTCAATTCTTAATTTATCTCTATCCTTTTCTTATTATTTTCTGTCCTTTATATATGAGTTTCATTTGCGGCACTCTGAAGATGGCGCTGATTTCAATATTTTTATCCTATCTCTGTCCTTCTCGCACTATTTGTTCTCCTTGTCTATCTTTTATAAAATGCATTCAAGAGACAATTTCGATATTTAATTAACGTTATCATTTTCTTTTGCTTTTATCTGTATTGCTTAAATACTAATATTTACAATTATAGCAACATATATAAACAAATTTAATTTTAATAATATATTTTAATAATATATTTAAATGTATTTTTTAAAAAATTTCAAAAATTGATATTATTTTCATTGTGTTGTAATATTGTATTGTTCTATTGTAAAAAGTAGAAATATAATTTTTTCACGAATAATTCAACTCAATATATAAGTCTACATTTTCGTAACAATCGAAGGAATATATCAAAAAGTTATTTTTAAAATGTGTTAATTTTATTAATTTTTGTGATTAAATATAATTTCTGTACTCACCTCTTTAAAGAAAATGCCAAACATGATTTCTTGCACGATCAAAAAATGAAATACAAATTTCTATCAAATGTTAAGTCTATTCTGTATTTTATCTGTGATTTAACTACATCCATATATATATATATATCTGTATGTGTATATGTATATATATATATATATATGTTATCAAATTTAATATTATATACTGACATTTAAATATACATACAGATATTATCAATTGCTTGTGAAATATTTTTAAATGTTTAATATATGTTAAATAATTTTATCTATATGATAAATAATTTCATCCATACATATTTTTACAGATTGTGTGACGCATTAGCTATAGAAAATAGATCACAGTATAAATAAGAAATTTAGTACATTCATTTATATGCATAAAGAAACTGTGATTGAAAGAAATTCATACTAAAAATTAAAATGGAAGTTTTAAATCATTTCGAAAATATTGATGAAAGGTATGTTTCTTATTATTTTTTTTTCATTTTAATATATTCCTTCACACAATATAACCATAAACACGAAATTTAATACACTAATAATATTTTCTTTTTTATATAAAGTTATATTAAATATTTAAATTTTATAGAATATATAAATCTATATTTATATCTCGTAAAATAAAATTTTGTTTTACATGGAATCTTATATATATTAATTAATTATATATTATTATATATATATATATATATATATATATATATATATAGCATATCGTAATTTATTTTTAATAATATATCAAAAATATTGTTTGTTAATATTTTTAGGGTAAATATTATGCAAAACAATAATGAAGATCAAAATAATTTGAAATTTTCTAAACAAGCAAATAATTATAGCAGTCATGAAGCTATTTTTTATAAGCGTCTAATTAATTTATTACTATCAAATATCCATATACAGGTAATAAAATAATATTGTTTATATATATTTTTCAAGCATAATAAAATATTATTGTATTTATTATATTTTATATATTGAAAATAGAATGAAGATGAAGTATCAATAACAGGAATATTAGAAATTGAAATATCTCATTCTCAAATGGAAATACTCAAAAATTTCCATATTCATCAAACATCTTTAAAAGAAATTGATGATATTTTCAGTAATACAATAAGAAAACCTCAATATAATTATATGTCTGGAGTTACGAATATATTAGATATATTACATAGAGGTTTTCGTACAATACTTCAAACAGTACAAGAGCATGTAAGAATATTTGTGTTATTGTTTAATCATTAATTTATATTTTTATATTTAATGTTTATATATATTGAAAGACTTGTATTTAATATTGTAAAATTTAATATTTCAGCAAGATGGAACTATAATTATATTTACAATGTTAATAGTTTGTTCAACATTTAGAATGATAACATGGGGACGAAGATTTCCTATTTTCAGTATTATACAAGTTATATTTATATTGAGTTTTTTTATGACATGGTGGCAACTTATAAAGGTAAGTAACATTAATTATATAATGATAATACTTAAAAGAATAATATAATTTAATTAAATCTGTTATATATTTTTCTAAAGGAGGCTGAAGTTAAATCTATAGCAGCACAAATGAAATTTTCAGAAATACCAATATCTTGTCAACCAAATAAAATGAGTCTGTGGAATAAATTTGTTTCATTCTTTGGTAAGTATTATCATATTATATTCCTTTATTGTGAAATAAATAAATAATATTATAGAATAAAATATTCTTTTTTCTTTTTAGATAATGATGATTGTGAGAAATATTATGAAACAAAAATGACTAATCCAAAATTAAAAATTACACCTGCACTTGCATTATCTCATTTTTTAAGTACTATTATTCTCCATCCAATTAGTCATGTAGGATCTACCATATCTATTTTTATAAATAATGCTACAGGTAATTAAGTTTTTTTTATCCTTAATTATAATACTTCAAATGAATTATTATACTTTAAATTAATTATAATACCTTAAATTAAACTTAATAGTTTAATTTTATGTTTATAAATATATTATGTATGTGTAAATTTAATAATTATTTTTAATGTTCTAGAAAATCTATCATGGGGTCAGAGTTGGATTATGAAACTTATACTTTTCTTATGCGTATGTCTTGTTATAGTATCAATACCATTTTATCTGTCTCGTGCATCCTTTAATTTAGGATTAGGACCATTTTTTAAACTTGGAATTGGCTATAAGAAACAGAAAGAAAAAGGTAATTCATTACAAAGTATAAACCGAGAACCTGTACAAATAATTCTTAAGGTAATATTTAGTTCTCTTTATTTTAATTATATGATATTTTTATTTTTGATGTTTGTCCCAACATTTTTATATATTTATTTGAAAACAAACAAAAGTGAACTCTTTTTAGGTAACTCATGCTACCGACGTAAGTCAAATAACAGACATTCCAGCTATCAAGCAATCGAATACCGAACCGAACCTACAAATTTTAAAAAAAGAAGAAGTAATTGCGACGAATAATGATTCTCAGAAAGATTACGATGATTTATGTTGCGGTGATATAACAAGTAACATTAAATTATTAAAATATGATGATAAAGAATTTAATAAATATGAGAACTTTGATGCAATACCAATAGAAAGGAACAATGGAAGCGGAGATCGTTGATGTACATTTTATATTATTTTGTTTTTTATTATATACATAAGCTATTAATTTATACTACATTTAATGTTAACATATTAAATATGATTTGTATATTCAAAAAATCAATTTTAATTAGTCTAATAATTATATTTATATGTAACTTATTGCGTTCATGATGTTTTAATAATTGTTTACAATTATTAAAATATATATTTTATTTATAATTGAATTGTGATTGTATAATATATAATGAAATGATATTTGCAGTAATCTGTAACAATATTAATAATAAATTTGAAATGCTTAAATTTTAATGCTCATATTAATTTGAATAATAAAGAATTTGCGTTATATAATCTCTGCATTTATATCATTAGAATGAATATAAATATTTTAGATATACCAAAAAATTAAAAGCAATTTTTTCTATGACAAATATCTATGTAATTGAAAATTATTTTAATTACAACATATAATAATTAATGCTATGATATGATTGGAGCAACAATGAAGAAAAATTAAAGATGACGATAATATCGTAAAATTAAATTTTACGTTGCGTTCATAATTAATTCTATTTTACAATACAAACTAATACTCTTGCTGTGTGTAATACATAATTTTAATTTGTCATTTCTCATATTGTTTATCACAAATTCAATTAGATTTCATTTTCAAACATGACGTTTGAAAATTTATAACAATTTCATTAACTTAAAAATAACAATTCTAAAATTCAAAAATTAAATTATTTTCACGTTATATTATTTATATTTTTGACAGAGTTAAAATATTAAAAAAAAAAAGAAGTTTGATCAATATATCCTAAAGATGCAACGCTTGATTACATCAGTGATTGTCAGCTCGATGGTTGAAAAAGCCTGGCAATCAAAATATTTAGAATAATTCAATCGAATGCAACAAAGCTAAAAGAACTTTTTCAAATTGTTCACAGATCCATAAAAAGCAGGTGTGTTTACAACTAACAGAAGATATTTAGGGTAGAGGGTTTTCATAGAGCGATAGATGCATTACATGCTCGGGATAATACTGAAGAGAAGAGACATCGGTATACATATCAACATATTTAACTTTTCATTCTATTTTTGCAAATTATTGAACATATATTATTTCTGTGATAATACATATATATGTACTTCAACAAATTCAAAAGCAATTTCAAAATCACTGAAAAGTTCCAATTATTCTTTTTGTAAGTAATACAACTAATTTACATCTAAACAATTTTTCTTTAAATTATTAAAATTTAATTTAAATGATAATAATTAATTAAAAGAAATAAATAATCACCTAATCTTTTATTGTCACGTCATCAAAAATCTACTTTCTCACAGTTAAAAGCATATAATTCGAGCAAATTACAAGTTCGAAACAAGTGTTTTCGAGCACTTGTAAGAAATCTGCAAACTTTTCACGACTTGATGAAAGTTCGATACAGCATGGTTTAATTCGTTTTCGTGATGCCTAAAGCGGCCACGATCATGGATGCATCAGCGAGCATCGAGAAGGCTATCAAAATAACGAACCTATCTCATTTCAAAGTGCTTTACGCGCGCTTGGCTGAGTTTAAAACGAACCAAGATCCGTTGCATACACGTGCAACCGGCCTTTTCACCTGAAACCCAAACGGTTCATCTCAGCATCTGCTCCATTGATGTCTCCTAGCTCGTGATTAGTTGGCGATGAACCGCCAAAAATTCGAAGAACCTTGAATAGCCTTATGTGCGCATATGTGTATGCATTTTGAAGAAAGCATACCTCGAGATCCTGGCTTGGTTTCCTCAAGATTTTCGCTCGGATGCGTATAAATACGATCGTCGAATCGATCATTGATTCACAAAGTGGTCGATATAAAAATAGAGGACGATTGTTCGCTCTGGTTGGCTACTATTCCGCTACCAAGGACATCAAAGTGTTTTCTGTATCGTAGTTCGGATTTTCCTTCGGTTAACTTTCCTCCCTTTGTTCATTCGGGAGGGAAAGAAAAAGTTGGGATCGTCCTTATTCTGTACCGTCATTTCTTCCCAGTGAAGATTTTTGGGAAAGTTATCGATAATTCATTTTAAGTGGTACATTACAATTGGAAACTCCATAGGAAAGTTTCGACGGAAGACAAACTTCCAGAGGCGGTCGAACTCTTCAACAAAGTGAAATACATAATGCATGCCTAGCTGGAACATAATTAAGCAAGGCGGAGAGGAGAGACGAAGTTTTAACCGATTTACTTCGTCCTCGGCGCGAGGTAGACAATTCAACCTGAGTTCTTGAAGGGAACTTCACGTCTTGGAATATGGCTGCGATCGTTTTAACGATCATCTTTCATCTGTTGCGATACTGTTGATTTCTTTTTACAATGAGGTTCCAAGATGATACCATATAATCGGATAATAAGTCCACTAATTCTTTCCTTCACTATCGTTCCTTTCTATGATAGAAGCTGATCGTTTAATTGGGTTTATATTCACCTCTTTAAAACATATTTATTAGCGAGCAATTATTGGGTGAAGAAATTAATTTGAAGCTTCTTTAAAATAAAATTATCATTCAACTATCGATCGTAAAATAGAAAGATTTCTGAAATTTCTTTTATCGCTTTAATTTTTTAATAAGTTTTGTTGTTATATATTATAATTCTCATAAATGGAAACGTAACGAAGAGTAAATTATTTTAACGATGCTGGTTCGAATAAATGGAGTTCCACTATATATATATATATATTTTTATACGTATCAAATATTTACAGAATTGTTCTTGCAAAGAAATTTAATTGAGTAGAGAATTAGCAGGGTTGTACAAACAATCGGATATAGGGAAACGACGTTACCGGTTCTTGCACGGCTTTGATCGTTAGCCTGTAAATTTTCCTACCTCCATGTTAGCCGATCGTCGATTCGGCTAACTCATGAGAGGTCTGGATATCGGGGAAATGGATGGTGGATGTAACGATCGGTTACCTCTACTAAACGTTTCGCTGTTCACCAGAATTGCTGAATGTAAACTGTCTATTACCGACGTTTGGACCTGATCGTTGTACGCTTCTGTTGAGTGCGCATTTATCAGCATTGTACGCTATACATAGGATACGATATAGATTTTCTACGATCGTTCCTCTGTCTGGATTTACCTTTGCTCGAGCAGGTATTGGCCAATATCGGTTACGATGAATATGTAACGAGAAAAGTAATTTTTGCGTGTATTGCTCTCGGATCGATAGAACTTTTTCATCGTGCACGGCCTCCTTGGACGTTTAAAAAAGATATTCCACTCCAGTTTATAGGTATTAACGCGAACTTTGTGCGTTAAATGGAGTTTGAATAACAAGAGGATCGCTTAAAATGTGTTCCAGTATGTATGGACACGATATTATATCAAGATAGCTCCTCTGTGGTCTATTAAAGCTTGGTCATTGACAAGCCTTGTACTTGTGATCAAAGCTGCACCTATCTCTCTGTACATACATAGTTTATTAATCACTTTGCCGTGTACCATGGAAGATTTTAATTGAACGTTAAATTCTTAAAAATTATCCGCTCGTCTCCAATGCAACGAATTTCGATATATCTCTCCTGGCACTCGAAAACCTCTGTATTAACTTTGTATGTATATTGTGATTGTATCTTTTACTATATTGCAATAAAATATAAATTTATTAAATCGATGGAATAATTTATTCTTTAATCTACGAGGATGATAAATGCATATAACGAGTTAATGAAACGAAAACGTTTTAAAACCTCTTCATTTTGATATTTTGCCACGATTTTTCATATATTACATATGAATTTCACGTTCAGAAGTCTTACTCATCGATATTTTCTGCACCTCTGCAAAATATTTCATATTGCGAATTCATTTCATATTTTTATATTTCTTTGAAAAATACTTTCTAAATACTTAATTCCCTGCTCGTCTTTCAGAACTTTCGAGTGTCACGAGTAATTAACACGTTTACCCAACGGTGATATCCACGGTAAAGGTCCACCAAAAAGGAAAGTGTAATTCAATGTCGGACCCATGGACGTATACACGAGCGGACAGAGAAGTAACCGCACGATAACGCGGCATTCCACCATGAGAGGATAGTAATTAAGACCTCAACTGGTCCCAAGGGACTTTGTGCACCGTCTCTCTATATCTTATCGCATGGCTCGCCCGACTGGATGTCCATGCATTATATCTATGGGTTTATTCACCCAAGAGGGCAGTTCCGTATCGTGAAACGAGTCGTTGTACACGTAGACAGAGTTCGATCTTGTGTTTTCTAATTATCGATGAGGTTCCTCGAACAGGCGTCGCTTCTTCACGGATATATCAGGTGTTTCGGTGGAACGTTTAAAACCTGAGTCAATTAAGACACCCTGTCTTGGAAATTTTTACAAGCTCTGGTATCGATTCAGATACACTCGTGTCGTGATCGAGAGAATAAAGGATGGGGAATAAAATTATACGTTGGTATCAAGGATGACGTAAACTTTCAAACCTTTAAATCTCAAATTTAAAAAGTTTCGAAATTTCGAATCTCGAATTCATATACGATGAATAATATTGCCAATATCGATAAATATTACTGTGGTAAGTATACAGGTTTTTTTGTGGGAAAAAAGGGAAGGAAAAGGAGAAAATAAAAGAATTTTCAAAAAGTTTCAAATTCAAGGATGTAAAAAATTAATTAAATTTCGATCCATATCTAGTTAATGCCTAAAACTAACTTTAAATGTTTAATTTTTCAGAATCGACAATGTATAAATATAAATATCGACTCGATGGTTGGCGTGGATTTGGAATTAGTCGCAAGATGGCCGATCGACCGGTGAAATCATTAAATTGTCAGGAAATTGAACCGGTTTAGACGAGTGCAAAGTAATCTCGAGACATGGATAAAAATACGAATGGAAAGCTATAATGGTCGTACGGCAATTATATCGGCACGGCTTAACGCATAACGATCATTTTTTCCAACGCCGGTAACATGGGAAAATAGTTTAATATCGGCGAACCGGTTTGACGCCGCTCGTTTTGAGATGGCGACGGTGACGTTCGGTCACGCAACCCGCATTATACTTTGAAAATAAGAACAAGAAGAGGATCGTTGATGAGCATGCACCGAGAGAATTTAAAGAGACGCGCAAAGAACACGAAACCATTACCGTGTTGACTAATTGCGGAATTTTATAACAACAGATGGCCAGTGGACATCTTGAGAATGACAGGTTACTTATTTGTATTTAATTAAAAATGACAAGTTGTAAAGTTGAGTCACTTGTTCATTTTGAATGACTTTTAAAAGTAT